ACTAGCTTTCCATTGGTTCGATATGGTGTAGGTATACATCTTCAGATTGAAATTCATCGTGTGTTTTCTCTACGGCGAGAGTAGCGAGTTCTGTCATTGTATCTCGGTCTATCTTGGGCTCTCTGTGGCTGCGGTTCAACTCTCCTCTGTCTCTCGGGTGATCGTTGGACTATCTCTCCATTAACAAACAGCTCAGCTGCCAACCAACAACAGCGATTAAGAAGATACAAATCAGGAATTCAAGAGCACTGTAAATAATTAAACATCTTGAGTAATAGTAGAGACTTAGTTATGTATCTCTCGTAATTGAGTCTATGCTTCTCCAATATCAAGAGCACAGAACAAGAAAAGAGAGAATCTGGATGTGAGTCCATTTGCATTCAAAGCTAATCACTGCCGAAAAGACTCAATTAACTTTGCCAAGATGGACTATGAGCTTATATTTTCCATGGTTAGAGTAAGTGACACACTGACAATACTAGTGGCTAAGTATATTTCATAACCACCGGTCTGCACTTAGACATGTCATTATTCAATGTGCCAAGAGATTCACTAGCTTCACCAAGATGGACTAATTGAAAGCAATAAGTACTCAAGAGTTGGAATATATGTTTCAACTAAACCGTCCTGCAGTTAGATATTTTACATTATCTATCTGCAAAAAATCGACTAAGAGAAAACAGTTGATGTCAGTCCATTAGCATACAAAGCTAATCATAGCCAAAAGACTCATTAGCTTTGCCAAGATGGACTAATCAAAAACATTGTTTCATATTCCAAAAAGAGACGCCACACTGAGACTCAAGAGTTGCAATGTCAATGGCACTAGCAAAGATTCCATTTTTCGAAATAAAACAGAAATGAGGATACAGTTGAAACAATACCAAAACCAAATATAACTTCAATAAGAGGCAGAACAATTACCTCCATAATCTTTGTTTTCAGGATCCACATACGAATCAGGAAGCACAAATAGAACACCGGGTAAACCTATTGTAAACAAAAGCAACACATTAGCGTACTCTTTATTATCGGATAACACTAGCAAACATATAAGAAAGAAGTGAAAGTGCTGACCTTCAAGCTTAGTCGATGTCTCCTCGTCAATCTCACAGCCAAAACCTAGATACCTCTCGCACGAAACATTGTAAATCCGCTTCTTTGCCTCTTCCTCACTACCAAAACAAA